TGAATTGGAATTTTCATTGTTCAAATTGTCTTTGAAAGTATCTCAAAGCAAGGCTAGAAAATAATATGCCAATCATTGGTGCTGGCTTCAACAAATAATAAATATATGTAGAAATTTCTTCAGCTTTCAGTAACTGTGAGTACTCTTTAATAGATTAGTACTTTGTGAAATTCTATACGGTTATTTGTTTTTGTGCTTAGTATATACCAATCTGATGATTCAAGCTCTCTAAATAACAATGATAATTTATAAAAAAAAATTATAAGCTTACTATACAATATATATACAGGTGTATTTTATTTACTTGTATACAATATATATACAGGTGTATTTTATTTACTTGTATAAGTGAAAAAGCCATCATATCATCTTTTCTTGAATTCTTAGGACTTCTTTGCTCTAATAGAATTTTAAATTGTCTGTCCTTTGCAGATGTCTTAACTAATCATTTAAGTGTAATTTCATGGACAATGAAAATCTCATTTGTCTGTTATCTTCAGAACACTGCTCATTTACAAGCCCCATAAGAGCAATTTTTGAAGGCCTTGCCAAAATACAGGTTCGGGAAAGCTTTTGGATAAAGGAACTAAATGTACATCATCCAAACGGCATCAATAAAAAATACTAAGTTTTATTTTTCACTCATTTTGGGTTGTAAATATACACAGTCACGTATATTTGAGTATTGAGTTTTGTTTTATATTATGATGTTCAGGATTTTGGATTAAATCAATAGACCAAAACTTACCTGTATTATTGAGCTATTTTTATACATATTATCAGTATTGTTAAAATAATTGACACCGAAGAAGGCTATTTGTTAAGCCGAAATATTTGTCAACACGATTTATTAACAACATCTTCGTATAATACCATCTTATATTAGTATCGTTGTGCAAATCTCTAGACTTATATAATTTTTTTCCTTATCTGCACAGTATCGTCTATTCTAGACGATCCGGTACATAGTAAATTTGCTGGTTGGTCCTTTTTATAGACTTCTATATTATTTTCCTCTGAATGACCTGTATTATGTTATTCACATAATCCCAGTGAATTTAAGTTTTCAGCTCTTATATCATGAACATCAATGATTATTTTAAACAACTTAGAGCTATTAAACAAAAACAAATTAGAACTGAACACCACTTACCTAATTTAACCCATTATGTGTATAATGAAAGTATTCCTAACGGACTACAAATCAAGCTTATGCCACAAACACCTGGCAATGTATCCAACACATTACTTCGCAAATGGGATCAAACCCTCTACCATTGTTCCAAGCGGTTAATGGTCCTCCTCAAACAACACTGCGAAGAATATCTGAAAACTCTTACTGGCGAATTTAACACCCTTTCAAATAGCTGCAAAAAAGATCTCACATCTGACAATTGTGATGCTATCAGTGCTCGCCTTAAAGACATAACAACCATACAATCTCAAAATTTGAGTGAAAGGCAGAAAAGAAAATTCCGTAGGGATGGCATCGAACATATCAATCCTTCTTTACCATCTGAAAAAAAGAGAAAACGAGTAAGGCGCTTTAAACGTAGGTCACTAGAGACTGATTCGCCCTCCAACATTGTGGTCAATCTTTCCAAACACCAGTTAACGGAAGCTGAAACATCTCTTCTCTCGAGAGGCTTAAATTTCTGTCCTTTACCTGCCCCTAATGAAACTAAATTGTCGGAAGACCTTGACAATTTTGCCAGAAGTCTACGCATTAAGGAATATTTCGCGTCGAAGGAGAACAACAACAGATGCTCGGATAGCGACTCAGAAATTTCAGAAGACGAAAACAACTACAAATTTATAAAAAAGAGTACTTGGATCCCTAAACCGAGCAAAAATGCCACCTTGGAATCATTTATTGACAATTTTAAGTCGGACATTATTAGAAATACTAGAAATAACAATAAACCTTTTGACAATCTTACCAATGAAGAACGAACTGCACTGAAAAACTTACGATCTAACGACAATATCGTCATTAAACCTGCAGACAAAGGCAGTGCAGTGGTTGTCATGGATAAATCTGCCTATATTCAAGAGGCTGAACGACAACTTGGCGATGCAAGGTTCTACCAAAAACTAGACTCTGATCCTACAACATCTTTTAGCAGAGAAATAACTGATAGTTTGGTAGAAATGCACAACGATGGTTTCATCGATGAAAAGACTCTAGAATATTTGAAACCAGAAAATCCAAAACCGGGCAGATTTTATCTTTTACCTAAAATTCATAAGGCCAATAACCCAGGAAGACCTATAGTTTCAGCGAACGGTCATCCGACAGAAAAAATATCGGAATTCGTTGACTTCCATCTTCGTCAACATGTTGAGGACTTACCATCTCACATCAAAGATACTACCGATTATCTTAGAAAATTGCAGGCCTTAAATCCACTCCCCTCCGACACGACACTTGTCTCTATGGACGTCACCTCCCTCTACACGAATATTCCACATGCAGATGGCATTGATGCATGTAAAGAAGTTTGGAATTCCCGACCAGTGAAATATCCACCTACTGAATGCCTGGTCAAAATGCTCACGCTGGTACTCAAAAACAACAACTTCACTTTTGATGGAGACCATTATCTGCAAGTTAATGGAACTGCTATGGGCACCAAAATGGCTCCATCATATGCCAACATATTTATGGGCAAATTAGAAAAACAACTCCTTGAATCTTCCATCGAAAAACCGCTTTCCTGGTTTAGATTTATAGATGATGTGGATATGAAATGGAATAAAAGTGACGAGGATTTAGATACATTCATCACTCATGCCAACAACATACATCCAAGTATCAAATTTACTCATGAGAAATCTAAATCCAAAATCACCTTCCTCGATACCTCCAGCTCGCTCACAGATGGCATCATATCCACTGATCTATATTCTAAGCCTACTGACACTCACCAATATCTGTCCCCTAAAAGTTGCCATCCTGCTCATTGTACTAAGAGCATCCCGTACAGTCAGGCACTCAGAGTCAAGCGAATATGTTCCAACTCAGAAACAACTAAAAAACAACTACGTCAACTCGAAACCCGCTTGAAGAGAAGGGGCTACAAACACAAAACTATCCAAAAAGGCTTTCAGAAAGCGGAAACTATTCCAAGGAGTAAACTGTTAGAATACAAATATAAAAAGAAAAATAAAAGGACTCCATGTGTTCTTACTTACCACCCATCTCTCAAAAACTGCTTCGGTGTCATTCGTGAGCATTGGAAAACAGTTGAAAAGAATTCCAAACTATCCAAGATTTTTCCCGAGCCTCCCATGATAGCTTTTAGGCAACCCAATAGTCTGCGTAACCTGCTGGTGCGGGCTGAAGTGTCTGATAATAGAAGTAATTCTGGAGAATGTCGTTCGTGTGATGAAAAACGCTGCAAATGCTGCCTACAGATGCATCACTCATCAACTTTTCACAGTAAGGCAACCGAAAATAACTATAAGATATTTTGCAATGTTAACTGCAAAAGTATGAATGTTATTTACATTCTAGAATGTTCGGTTTGTGGCCTCCAATATGTTGGTGAGTCAAAGCAGCCTTTCCACAAACGCCTCAATGGCCATAGGAGTGATATCTCTAAGAAGCCACTTCTCCCAGTTTCTCAGCATTTCAGACAGTCTGGTCACACACTTGATGACTTTAACCGCATGAAGATCCTAGTGATTGAACAGAACATTCACTGGAGTGATGCCCAGCGACAGGTTCGGGAAAGCTTTTGGATAAAGGAACTAAATGTACATCATCCAAACGGCATCAATAAAAAATACTAAGTTTTATTTTTCACTCATTTTGGGTTGTAAATATACACAGTCACGTATATTTGAGTATTGAGTTTTGTTTTATATTATGATGTTCAGGATTTTGGATTAAATCAATAGACCAAAACTTACCTGTATTATTGAGCTATTTTTATACATATTATCAGTATTGTTAAAATAATTGACACCGAAGAAGGCTATTTGTTAAGCCGAAATATTTGTCAACACGATTTATTAACAACATCTTCGTATAATACCCTCTTAAATAGTATCGTTGTGCAAATCTCTAGACTTATATAATTTTTTTCCTTATCTGCACAGTATCGTCTATTCTAGACGATCCGGTACATAGTAAATTTGCTGGTTGGTCCTTTTTATAGACTTCTATATATATATATATATATAATATATGTCTGCCTATGTGTAGTGACAACTGTAAATTATACCTTGTCCATCGGAATTTTTTATGATTAATAAATACCAGGCGTTAGAATATTTATAAAGTGCCTAGAAAATCAACCTAACAATGTTAAAAGTAGATCTGATTCTTTACTTCCTCCCGGACCGGGGCTGGAACCTGTACTTTTCACTTCATACTTCTACGACATCACCGCCTAGCATTGCGCAGATGCCTTATCCCCTCCTCTAACTATATCTGATATATATATTTATTACTCATTGTTGAAGGCCGTATGGTGACCTGTAGTTGTCCCCATCATTGTCTTTAAGGTAGTGTCTCCTTGGCAATCATTCAACATCTCCTTATTTTTACATTTATATTTTAGACAATAGAGGTTTGTTGTTCCTTCAATTTTATTTGTTTGGACCAGTCTACACATCACTGATAAACACTTGTGCATTTTTTATTCAAGGAAAGATTGACTATTTACGACACTGACAAGTAAAATTTTTCTTTTATTGCCTATTACAATCTAGCGAAAATAGTTTATGGAATTTCCCCATAAATTCAATGACCAACTTTAATGAACGGTATATTGGTAAAAAGTTTAGAGAACATCTGATTCACAACTTTTAAAGATTTATAGTGATTTGGGACATGATAAAAGATGATATCATCATTGAAGACACTATCATCTTTTGTTTGTATTCTGTCTTATTATATTGCTAGGTTGTTGTCTCATTGACCTGTACAATACAACTTCTTTAATTTATATTCTCTTAAAAGACTGTAAAAATAAAGAACTCAAAACAACGAAGATGATTGTAAAATCTATTGATTAATATTACAATAACAAATATAAGATGAAGAAGATATAAACTGTGAGATTACAGACAAACATCCTGACCCCTCCAACCTTTTCTGTTTTTAAATAGAAATGGAAAAATAATAACATGCTTGATGTCAAAAACTATGAAGTAATAAATCTAAAATCTATTTTCTTTTGTGAAGTTTCATTGATAGTTTCTGGGATCTAATTTAATTATAAAACATGAAATAAATTTAACAAACAAACTTGGTTTTCTTCCTAGTAACTCAATCTTTCTGAAAACAATGTGCATATCTAACCTTAGTTTTACTTTAATATCATAAACATTACCAACATACCCTTACTTTATTGTTTCCCTTATATAAACAATTTGAATTCATTCAATTCATTTAAATCAAATTTTAACATACAAAGATGTATGTTTCATAACACAATGGTAATGCTTATGACATGTGACATGTAACAAATGTGTAATACTATTTCTGATTGGATGATGTCTACCATCATAATGTGTAATCAACAAAAATGTTGAGGTTTTCAGAATATTTCACATTTTATTCGAATATTTACAAATATTGTATTAGAATAGGAATAACAGTATTGTATTTAAAGAGTTGCAAACATCAATATAGGATTTAACGATGGCAACATTTTAAATACATGTATGATTTGATTTTAATTCATTTAATCTAAATTTTAACATATACAGATGTAAGTTTCATAACATAATGAAAATTCTTTTTCTATGCGCAATGTCCTACCATTTCTGATTGGATGATTTCTACCATTGACGTGTGATGGTAGGAATCATTGACAACAATGTTCAGGTTTGTGGGATATTTCACATGTATTATTTTTTATATTTACAAGTATTGCATTAAAAGAGGAATAACAGAACCATATTTGAATAGTTGCCAACGTCAATTCCTTAGTTTGAAACTTCTAATTTATCATGTTTATGGTATTGTTACTCCTGATATTCAAAAATGGTTTAATTTCAAAATAATTTTAATACTTGGTAGGCACGGAAAGATTTTTTGCTGACTAAAATTTCTTATGATAAAATAACAATAATAATTTCTATTTATATTCTAACCTTTTACACTAATAAGCATGAATAGTTAACCATTCTGTTGTACAATTTAAAGCAAAATAAATGTATTCATGGTGTTCAAGCTAAAACAAAAAATTTAAATTTACTGACAAAATAATGAACACATAATACAACAACTGACGAAACAAATAAAATTGACAACTCGTGCTTTATAAAGTGACGTCACATTTGTTCGGTAAAACCCTCATACAGTTTATATATGGCACATACAAGGTTGGGTAAAATCTTTGTTACTACACAGTGTCATTATATTTACACAATAATTTACATAGATTCTATCACAGTGCAATATTATCATCTGATATAAAACTGAGGAGATGTAAAGCAACTATCAACCCAAATACAAAGATGTAAATAATTACAGGTCACCCATCATAAAACCTTTAACAATGAGCAAAACCCATACCGTCTAGTTAGCTATAAAATGTTTGGGGTGACAAAATGTAAAACAATTAAAAAAAACTTAACGTCTTGTTGATGTCAATATTCACTGGTGTAAAAGATTAAAAAGTAGAAACATTTGTGGGGAATCTATTTCTATATTTCCTAAACTAGAATATCTTACAAATTAATGAACTCTTGACAGAGAGATATGTCTCCATATGTCTTTTTGATAGTAACAAGTAGTTCCCCTTAAACTGACCCCATCACAAACTTTAATATGTAAACTGTAAACTTTGACCTATAATTGTTTACTTTTTACCCATTGTGACTAGGACGGAGAGTTGTCTCATTGGCACTCATACCATATCTTCTTATTTCTATGTGCTAAAGTTTAAGTCAACGAACCTTAACTGAGGGTCAAATAATTTCCTTGAAAATGTGATGTGCCAATGTTAATGCAACAGCGACTCTTTTCACAAGAAATCTTACGATAAAAATTGATCGTAAGTTATACAGAAATGTGTATGACTTACGAGTATTTTTACTCTTAAGATTTTTTGTGAAAAGAGCCACTGAATACCAAATATCATTGGGTTTCTAAATAAAAACTTTCTATTACTAGTTCATCTAAAACTGACCTAATCACAAACTATAAGAGTTAAACTAAGCAAATGTTTGAGAGTCAATAGACCATGACTGAGGGAATAAGGTCAAATAATTTCAATGAAAATGAGAAATGTCAATGCTAAAACTACTGCATACCAAATATCATTGACTATTCATTAGTGATGCCATTAAAACTGACCTTATTATTAACTTTTACTACATATTGACAAGGCAGCTGTAAACTACATGCCTAAATCTCGCCTATGTTACTCCTTCAAGATGAGACACGCCATGACATGTCCCAATGAATACTGAAAAAACATGAACATTTAAAAGATTTAGAGAAACCCTGACATTTTCAATAGAATACTGTAAATTCAGAAATTATTGCGATGTTTTTATTATTGCGAAAAATGCGACATGGTTATAATCGCAATAATTTAAACTCGCATTTTGAAATATTTTATATGAATTAAACAGAATTTTTCTCAATAACGCAAAAATTAAAATCGCATTTTAGTCTAAAATGACAAAATGGCAATAATAAATGCATGCAATAATTTCTGAATTTACAGTATTGAGAAAAGGATATCAATGTTAAAAACATTAAGTACCAGTACAAAACAGAAGTCTTTTTGTAATTTGTGTTGTTAGGTTGTTGTCTCATCAACATATGTGCTACATCTCCTTTTATTCATATAAAAAGTAATTTGGTCAAAAATATAGTTATCAACAAAAAATAAATGACCAGTGACATGACAAGACATTGAAAGTTTTACATGACATTAAACACTTCATTACGCCATGACATTAAACACTTCATTACTCCATGACATTAAACACTTCATTACTTCAGGAAAAATTTTCATGAATGCAAAAAATTCTACTGTTTCATATCAGTTCTCAACTTTGTGGTGTGACCCTTATAGTGAAACAAGACAATACTGGGTCTGGACCATTGTTGCTGCATGAGATTGATTGAGGCAACATGCGTGTTGAAGAATAACTAATGAAGATGATTTCCAAAACTACATGTATGTTCATTTGGACTTGAATAAAGTCCTTTCACTGATGTAACGTTAAGGGAGGGAAAATTTTCCTTGTACAATGAGTGTTTAATATTTCAAACTATCTGCAAACAGGAAGTGGCTGACATGCAGACATTAAAATTGATACACACTACAAATCAACATTATCAGGCTCCAGACCAAATATAAAATTTTCGCTTCAATAGAACCCAAGAAAAGTTTTACTAAAATTTGCCTAAATAATTTCAAACTATCGTAAAACAGGAAGAAGCCGCATGACAGATCTAAAAATTCTGAATATAGGTTACAAATCAACAATATCAAGCTGCAGACTAAATATTAAATCATTCCCATCTTTAGAAGCCAAGAAATATTTTTCTACCCAAGGTCTTTTGAACAGACGGAGTTCAGGGGTTATTATACATATACACCAAGTACTTTTGTTCATTTCAACAAAATGATTTTCTTGACAAGTATGGTAAAACAAAATACATGTATATACATTAAAAGTGTTAGGTTTTGCCTCTCCTCTAAGTACACAGTTTTTAAGAGTAAGAGCAAAGAGGAGACGACTCAAAATCAATGATTTGGGTTGTATCTATTTCATTGAACATGCTAAATATCTAAGCCAGTGTGCCATATCTGACAAATAAACAGGATTCTGTCATGATTGATTTTAAAATGTGAAATCAAGAAGTTTATTATATATCTCACCAAAGTAAATGAATTAAAAGTGATATGCTGACCCAGTAGCCTATTAAAAAAAATGAAATTGCAACCATCCATGTAAACACTTACAATGCCTACCTACTTTTATCACAATTATCTCATCACATGTAAATACAAATGTTCACACATTAATATTGTTAAAACCATATTTCAAAATATGTCATAATCATAAAAGGTTCATAAATTTATACAACACTACAGTGTTGTCCATCTGTTTCATCATTACTATCGGCTAACGAATGACTCCACGGCGGACTCTCATTTTCTTTATTACTTATTACCATATCAACAGATCCTGAAATCCCTTTCTTGGGAACTTCATTATGTACAGAAGGTAAATTATTACATTGTGTATGACTTAAGTTGTGGTCTGGATACTGCGCGTCACTCTCAAGATTGCCAGAAACTGTGCCACGACCAGGAAGATCTGAAAAAGTACCATTTTCTTTTGGAACAGATCCGTTAGGACTTAGCAATTTAGACAATCGTACATGACGTAAATCTATGTTTTCCCGTGGACCACACCTACTATAATGAGCTTCAGAATCTGAGGTCAGACCAAAGTCTGTAGATCCTCGGTCTGATTCAAAGTCCGAGTCAGATATACACCTTTCTAAATGCCTATTATTGGAAGGTAGATTATCTCCCCTTGGATGTGTGAAACTATTCCATGTAGGCAGTGTGTCAGGTGATGATCGACAGTGCATGTTTGATAGCTGAGTTCTGGCTGATGATTGGCTATTTACATCACTGTTTTCTGACCTATTACAACTGTTGTTTCTCACTGGACTAGCAGTATGGAACACAGAGTGTTCTGAGCGATTCCTTTCTCCCCGAGGACTAGTAGTACGAATAACAGACGGCGTGGGAAAAACACGAGAGCTGACATTGTGATTAGAATCCACGCTCTCATAAGGGGGTGGGGCATCATCTGGATGTGTGTCATCGGGTGGTTTCGGGGGGGAGTATGGTGGTGGTGGTTCTTCATACGGTGGACACGCCATGCCAAAATAATCTGGTGTATACATGTCTGTATCATGTCTCCTCCTGTTATCGCTGTATCCTGTAAACAGAAACATATCAAACATCACAAAATTTGTACATTGTCTGAAAATATTCATTCACTTATGCTATGTCAAGAAATAGAACACTTTCATTGCACAGTACATGTGTTTCTCAAATGTCATTCTGATACCTCTAATAGCTTACTAATATGGCATGGCAGTGTTCTCCCAAGGGCCTTGTCATGGTACCATGGTGCTATCTAAATACATTTCATTATAAATTTTATAATTAGAATGTACTATAAATAAGGTGATATATATACAACAAATGTATAATCTTAGGGAAATGGTGCATTTTCAAATCCCATTTTGCTATTTGAAAATACTGGGGAGAACATTGGTGACCGTATGGGTTTTGCTCTTTGTATTGATTGATTGTTGTTTGTTTAACTGCTCTTTGTATTGATTGTTGTATGTTAAACTGCTCTTTGTATTTATTGATTGTTGTTTGTTTAATTGCTCTTTGTATTGATTGTTGTATGTTTAACTGCTCTTTGTATTGGTTGATTGTTGTATGTTTAACTGATCTTTGTATTAGTCTGTATGGTGATCGATTGTTGTATGTTTAACTGCTCTTTGTATTGATTGATTGTTGTCTGTTTAACTGCTCTTTGTATTGATTGTTGTTTGTTTAACTGCTCTTTGTATTGGTCTGTATGGTGATTGATTGTTATTTGTTTAACTGCTCTTTGTATTGATTGATTGTTGTATGTTTAACTGATCTTTGTATTGGTCTGTATGGTGATTGATTGTTGTATGTTTAACTGATCTTTGTATGGTGATTGATTGTTGTATGTTTAACTGCTCTTTGTATTGGTCTGTATGGTGATTGATTGTTGTATGTTTAACTGCTCTTTGTATTGGTCTGTATGGTGATTGATTGTTGTATGTTTAACTGCTCTTTGTATTGATTGATTGTTGTATGTTTAACTGCTCTTTGTATTGGTCTGTATGGTGATTGATTGTTGTATGTTTAACTGCTCTTTGTATTGATTGATTGTTGTATGTTTAACTGCTCTTTGTATTGATTGATTGTTGTATGTTTAACTGCTCTTTGTATTGATTGTTGTTTGTTTAACTGCTCTTTGTATTGGTCTGTATGGTGATTGATTGTTGTATGTTTAACTGATCTTTGTATATATATATGGTGATTGATTGTTGTATGTTTAACTGCTCTTTGTATTGGTCTGTATGGTGATTGATTGTTGTATGTTTAACTGCTCTTTGTATTGATTGATTGTTGTATGTTTAACTGCTCTTTGTATTGGTCTGTATGGTGATTGATTGTTGTATGTTTAACTGCTCTTTTTATTGATTGATTGTTGTATGTTTAACTGCTCTTTGTATTGGTCTGTATGGTGATTGATTGTTGTATGTTTAACTGCTCTTTGTATTGATTGATTGTTGTATGTTTAACTGATCTTTGTATTGGTCTGTATGGTGATTGATTGTTGTATGTTTAACTGATCTTTGTATTGATTGATTGTTGTATGTTTAACTGCTCTTTGTATTGGTCTGTATGGTGATTGATTGTTGTATGTTTAACTGCTCTTTGTATTGATTGATTGTTGTATGTTTAACTGCTCTTTGTATTGATTGATTGTTGTATGTTTAACTGCTCTTTGTATTGATTGTTGTTTGTTTAACTGCTCTTTGTATTGGTCTGTATGGTGATTGATTGTTGTATGTTTAACTGATCTTTGTATATATATATGGTGATTGATTGTTGTATGTTTAACTGCTCTTTGTATTGGTCTGTATGGTGATTGATTGTTGTATGTTTAACTGCTCTTTGTATTGATTGATTGTTGTATGTTTAACTGCTCTTTGTATTGGTCTGTATGGTGATTGATTGTTGTATGTTTAACTGCTCTTTTTATTGATTGATTGTTGTATGTTTAACTGCTCTTTGTATTGGTCTGTATGGTGATTGATTGTTGTATGTTTAACTGCTCTTTGTATTGATTGATTGTTGTATGTTTAACTGATCTTTGTATTGGTCTGTATGGTGATTGATTGTTGTATGTTTAACTGATCTTTGTATTGATTGATTGTTGTATGTTTAACTGCTCTTTGTATTGGTCTGTATGGTGATTGATTGTTGTATGTTTAACTGATCTTTGTATGGTGATTGATTGTTGTTTGTTTAACTGCTCTTTGTATTGATTGATTGTTGTATGTTTAACTGCTCTTTGTATTGATTGATTGTTGTATTTTTAACTGCTCTTTGTATTAGTCTGTATGGTGATTGATTGTTGTATGTTTAACTGCTCTTTGTATTAGTCTGTATGGTGATTGATTGTTGTTTGTTTAACTGCTCTTTGTATTGATTGATTGTTGTATGTTTAACTGCTCTTTGTATTGGTCTGTATGGTGATTGATTGTTGTTTGTTTAACTGCTCTTTGTATTGATTGATTGTTGTATGTTTAACTGCTCTTTGTATTGGTCTGTATGGTGATTGATTGTTGTATGTTTAACTGCTCTTTGTACTGGTCTGTATGGTGATTGATTGTTGTATGTTTAACTGCTCTTTGTACTGGTCTGTATGGTGAGTTGTTTACATTATTGTACTTGAGTATTTGGTGGATAGTTGTCTGATATTTGTCTGATTGGCATGATACCACATATCATGTTTTAATAAAATGTCCACTAAGACCAAAAGTTTAGGAAACCAAACACATAATACATTTATAACCAATATACAAATTGTATCTTCCAATTTAACATCATTCTTTTTTCATTTGAAGTTGTTATATTTATTTAAAACCAATCTGCTTGCTAGTGATGATCAGATCATAAGGAGAGCATGAATAAATGTTTTACTTTGTCAAAAATAATAGGGCATGGGCTGACTACTCTTAAACTATGAAAAAAGTGCATGACTATATTCTAAGGTCAATCAAAATTTAAGACTTTTTGTAAAAATGACAGACATGTTTGAAACTTGTATTTTGGGCTAACTGATGTATAATTAAATTGTTGTCTCAGATAAATTTACTTCAGATCTTGTTTTATTGTTTGTTCTTACTTCTCATGGCTAATATCAATCTCTTCCTCCTCAGCTGATGTACAGCAAAAAGTAATAAGGCTAAAACCAGGAACGATGTCACTGTACTGGCTACAAGTCTTAATCCTAGTGTAGTCAAACTATCGGCTGATGTAACTAAAATAAAAAATAACCAAAATATAAGTGTATGTACTGGCTATTAGTCTCAATCCTAACGTCCTCAACCTATAGCTATCTGCTGATGTTACTGAAATAAAAATTAATCGAAATATAAGTATATCAGCAATTTGTACATTTTCCCTTTCATCTTACATCCTAATATTTTTCTATATATATCTGATATTCGAAAACATAAGGCAATGACGTTCCATAACAGTGCAGCAACTTCACGTGTTGGTGTCCATCTGCAACAATTTATAAACATGATCAATGAAATGCATGCTACTTTGTCAGTCAGGGATATAACTCTATAGGGTTATTACAGTAAAATAACATACATTTGTTATTGTGGATTAAAAAATCAAAGAACTGTGATAACATATGTATGTTACATGTTTCAAAGGGACAATATACATCATTAGTTTAGTTGAAATGTATAAAAGTTCTATTGATATTACTTTTGTCTATATGTATACTTAACTATTGAAAGATATAACAGTTCATAGTTTGCCAATTTTGCATAGTACACCTATATGTTATTACAGAAAAAATATGCCTGTAATAACTAAAGGGTGTTATCACAGCTTCTCTATATCACTTCAAAGCATTTGCTCAGACATACATCATGCTTAATTACAATGTATTTTAATTTATTGTAAGAAATAATGACCAGAGCATGTAATGAGGTTCTGCGCAAGTTTCTCAGTAATTCCCAAGTGTCTTATATAATAAGTTACATTCCTTTAATAACCTAGCCTTGTTATCACAGCTAAGTTTATCCCTTAATAGCCTCGTCTCATTGATTTACCATGGTTAATCAAAAATGAATTAATTTAATTAAAAAATTAGTTATCAAGGCTATGCATTTAGTTTCTGCGCAGTCTCAAGAGTTCCCTAGAGCCCACTATAAATGAAATAATTTTACAAATAACAAACATATGTTATTACAGATTTAGAAAATTTAAGGAATAAAGAGTAGACAACTCATGAAAGTATCTGTAATAACACATGCAAGTTATTTTCTGTAATAACCCTATAGAGTTATATCTTTGACTGTTTGTTCATACAACTGAACAACTATCACCATGATCACAACGTTGTGTACACATAATAATAGTTTTACTGACAATTTCATTTTATTTCATATTATAAACCAAACAACCTATTGTTGAAACAAAATTGCTGATAAAAAGAATAATGACATTTTTTTTTAATATTGACTTCATCAGCTCGAATATTACCTACCTGTGTTGTCTGTACTATTGTCAGCAGGTAAATCTGTTGGGGGTGTCTCTAGACAGGTGAATATTACCTACCTGTGTTGTCTGTACTATTGTCAACAGGTACGTCTGTTGGAGGTGTCTCTAGACAGGTGAATATTACCTACCTGTGTTGTCTGTACTATTGTCAGCAGGTAAATCTGTTGGAGGTGTCTCTAGACAGGTGAATATTACCTACCTGTGTTGTCTGTACTACTGTCAACAGGTACGTCTGTTGGAGGTGTCTCTAGACAGGTGAATATTACCTACCTGTGTTGTCCGTACTATTGTCAGCAGGTAAATCTGTTGGAGGTGTCTCTAGACAGGTGAATATTACCTACCTGTGTTGTCTGTACTATTGTCAGCAGGTACATCTGTTGGAGGTGTCTCTAGACAGGTGAATATTACCTACCTGTGTTGTCTGTACTATTGTCAGCAAGTAAGTCTGTTGGAGGTGTCTCAAGACAGGTGAATATTGCCTACCTGTGTTGTCCGTACTATTGTCAACAGGTAAGTCTGTTGGAGGTGTCTCTAGACAGGTGAATATTACCTTCCTGTGTTGTCTGTACTATTGTCAGCAGGTAAATCTGTTGGAGGTGTCTCTAGACAGGTGAATATTACCTACCTGTGTTGTCTGTACTATTGTCAGCAGGTAAGTCTGTTGGAGGTGTCTCTAGACAGGTGAATATTACCTACCTGTGTTGTCTGTACTATTGTCAGCAGGTACATCTGTTGGAGGTGTCTCTAGACAGGTGAATATTACCTACCTGTGTTGTCTGTACTATTGTCAGCAGGTAAGTCCGTTGGAGGTGTCGCTAGACAGGTGAATATTACCTACCTGTGTTGTCAATACTATTGTCAACAGGTTAGTCTGTTGGAGGTGTCTCTAAACAGGTGAATATTACCTACCTGTGTTGTCTGTACTATTGTCAGCAGGTAAATCTGTTGGAGGTGTCTCTAGACAGGTGAATATTACCTACCTGTGTTGTCTGTACTATTGTCAGCAGGTAAGTCTATTGGAGGTGTCTCTAGACAGGTGAATATTACCTACCTGTGTTGTCTGTACTATTGTCAGCAGGTAAGTCTGTTGGAGGTGTCTCTAGATAGGTGAATATTACCTACCTGTGTTGTCTGTACTATTGTCAGCTATAAGTCTGTTGGAGGTGTCTCTAGACAGGTGAATGTTACCTACCTGTGTTGTCTGTACTATTGTCAGCAGGTACGTCTGTTGGAGGTGTCTCTAGACAGGTGAATATTACCTACCTGTGTTGTCAATACTATTGTCAACAGGTTAGTCTGTTGGAGGTGTCTCTAGACAGGTGAATATTACCTACCTGTGTTGTCTGTACTATTGTCAGCAGGTAAATCTGTTGGAGGTGTCTCTAGACAGATGAATATTACCTACCTGTGTTGTCTGTACTATTGTCAGCAGGTGAGTCTGTTGGAGGTGTCTCTAGACAGGTGAATATTACCTACCTGTGTTGTCTGTACTATTGTCAGCTATAAGTCTGTTGGAGGTGTCTCTAGACAGGTGAATGTTACCTACCTGTGTTGTCTGTACTATTGTCAGCAGGTACGTCTGTTGGAGGTGTCTCTAGACAGGTGAATATTACCTACCTGTGTTGTCTGTACTATTGTCAGCAGGTAAGTCTGTTGGAGGTGTCTCTAGACAGGTGAATATTACCTACCTGTGTTGTCAATACTATTGTCAACAGGTAAGTCTGTTGGAGGTGTCTCTAGACAGGTGAATATTACCTACCTGTGTTGTCTGTACTATTGTCAGCAGGTAAGTCTGTTGGAGGTGTCTCTTGACAGGTGAATATTACCTACCTGTGTTGTCTGTACTATTGTCAGCAGGTAAATCTGTTGGAGGTGTCTCTAGACAGGTGAATATTACCTACCTGTGTTGTCTGTACTATTGTCAACAGGTAAGTCTGTTGGAGGTGTCTCTAGACAGGTGAATATTACCTACCTGTGTTGTCTGTACTATTGTCAGCAAGTATGTCTGTTGGAGGTGTCTCTAGACAGGTGAATATTACCAACCTGTGTTGTCTGTACTATTGTCAGCAGGTAAGTCTGTTGGAGGTGTCTCTAGACAGGTGAATATTACCTACCTGTGTTGTCTGTACTATTGTCAGCTATAAGTCTGTTGGAGGTGTCTCTAGACAGGTGAATGTTACCTACCTGTGTTGTCTGTACTATTGTCAGCAGGTACGTCTGTTGGAGGTGTCTCTAGACAGGTGAATATTACCTACCTGTGTTGTCTGTACTATTGTCAACAGGTAAGTCTCTTGGAGGTGTCTCTAGACAGGTGAATATTACCTACCTGTGTTGTCTGTACTATTGTCAGCAAGTATATCTGTTGGAGGTGTCTCTTGACAGGTGAATATTACCTACCTGTGTTGTCTGTTATATTGTCAGCAGGTACGTCTGTTGGAGGTGTCTCTAGACAGGTGAATGTTACCTACCTGTGTTGTCTGTACTATTGTCAGCAGGTACGTCTGTTGGAGGTGTCTCTAGACAGGTGAATATTACCTACCTGTGTTGTCTGTACTATTGTCAACAGGTAAGTCTGTTGGAGGTGTCTCTAGACAGGTGAATATTACCTACCTGTGTTGTCTGTACTATTGTCAGCAAGTATGTCTGTTGGAGGTGTCTCTAGACAGGTGAATATTACCTACCTGTGTTGTCTGTACTATTGTCAGCTATAAGTCTGTTGGAGGTGTCTCTAGACAGGTGAATGTTACCTACCTGTGTTGTCTGTACTATTGTCAGCAGGTACGTCTGTTGGAGGTGTCTCTAGACAGGTGAATATTACCTACCTGTGTTGTCTGTACTATTGTCAACAGGTAAGTCTCTTGGAGGTGTCTCTAGACAGGTGAATATTACCTACCTGTGTTGTCTGTACTATTGTCAGCAAGTATATCTGTTGGAGGTGTCTCTAGACAGGTGAATATTACCTACCTGTGTTGTCTGTTATATTGTCAGCAGGTAAGTCTGTTGGAGGTGTCTCTAGACAGGTGAATGTTACCTACCTGTGTTGTCTGTACTATTGTCAGCAGGTACGTCTGTTGGAGGTGTCTCTAGACAGATGAATATTACCTACCTGTGTTGTCTGTACTATTGTCAACAGGTAAGTCTGTTGGAGGTGTCTCTAGACAGGTGAATATTACCTACCTGTGTTGTCTGTACTATTGTCAACAGGTAAGTCTGTTGGAGGTGTCTCTAGACAGGTGAATATTACCTACCTGTGTTGTCAATACTATTGTCAACAGGTAAGTCTGTTGGAGGTGTCTCTAGACAGGTGAATATTACCTACCTGTGTTGTCTGTACTATTGTCAGCAGGTAAGTCTGTTGGAGGTGTCTCTTGACAGGTGAATATTACCTACCTGTGTTGTCTGTACTATTGTCAGCAGGTAAATCTGTTGGAGGTGTCTCTAGACAGGTGAATATTACCTACCTGTGTTGTCTGTACTATTGTCAACAGGTAAGTCTGTTGGAGGTGTCTCTAGACAGGTGAATATTACCTACCTGTGTTGTCTGTACTATTGTCAGCAAGTATGTCTGTTGGAGGTGTCTCTAGACAGGTGAATATTACCTACCTGTGTTGTCTGTACTATTGTCAGCAGGTAAGTCTGTTGGAGGTGTCTCTAGACAGGTGAATATTACCTACCTGTGTTGTCTGTACTATTGTCAGCTATAAGTCTGTTGGAGGTGTCTCTAGACAGGTGAATGTTACCTACCTGTGTTGTCTGTACTATTGTCAACAGGTAAGTCTCTTGGAGGTGTCTCTAGACAGGTGAATATTACCTACCTGTGTTGTCTGTACTATTGTCAGCAAGTATATCTGTTGGAGGTGTCTCTAGACAGGTGAATATTACCTACCTGTGTTGTCTGTTATATTGTCAGCAGGTACGTCTGTTGGAGGTGTCTCTAGACAGGTGAATGTTACCTACCTGTGTTGTCTGTACTATTGTCAGCAGGTACATCTGTTGGAGGTGTCTCTAGACAGGTGAATATTACCTACCTGTGTTGTCTGTACTATTGTCAACAGGTAAGTCTGTTGGAGGTGTCTCTAGACAGGTGAATATTACCTACCTGTGTTGTCTGTACTATTGTCAGCAAGTATGTCTGTTGGAGGTGTCTCTAGACAGGTGAATATTACCTACCTGTGTTGTCTGTACTATTGTCAGCTATAAGTCTGTTGGAGGTGTCTCTAGACAGGTGAATGTTACCTACCTGTGTTGTCTGTACTATTGTCAGCAGGTACGTCTGTTGGAGGTGTCTCTAGACAGGTGAATATTACCTACCTGTGTTGTCTGTACTATTGTCAACAGGTAAGTCTCTTGGAGGTGTCTCTAGACAGGTGAATATTACCTACCTGTGTTGTCTGTACTATTGTCAGCAAGTATATCTGTTGGAGGTGTCTCTAGACAGGTGAATATTACCTACCTGTGTTGTCTGTTATATTGTCAGCAGGTAAGTCTGTTGGAGGTGTCTCTAGACAGGTGAATGTTACCTACCTGTGTTGTCTGTACTATTGTCAGCAGGTACGTCTGTTGGAGGTGTCTCTAGACAGGTGAATATTACCTACCTGTGTTGTCTGTACTATTGTCAACAGGTAAGTCTGTTGGAGGTGTCTCTAGACAGGTGAATATTACCTACCTGTGTTGTCTGTACTATTGTTAGCAAGTATGTCTGTTGGAGGTGTCTCTAGACAGGTGAATATTACCTACCTGTGTTGTCTGTACTATTGTCAGCAGGTAAGTCTGTTGGAGGTGTCTCTAGACAGGTGAATATTACCTACCTGTGTTGTCTGTACTATTGTCAGCAGGTAAGTCTGTTGGAGGTGTCTCTAGACAGGTGAATTTACAGCATTCTGTTTTAACCTGCTGCCAGTTTGGACAAGATGGAGGTGAACAGGATACCAGTCTACACATGGTAGGAAACCCCTGATCGCAGGTACAGGTCTTACATCGATCATTGGGGTCTGGCATGAATTCTTCTCCATGTTGGATGGCTTTTCCTTCAAAATCTTTACAAGTCAGCTGACCATCTGATTTCACTAAAAACAAACAAAAGAAGCTTTATAGTATGTCAACATGGTCAAAAGAATTCAGTTTTTGTTCCATTCTTTTGTTAACTAAATCACACAATGTTTAGAAAGTAAACATTTCGTTAAGAAATACCAAATCTTCACTATACAACTGAAAAACTTTGAACAAAGATGTAATGTTAGAATTCAATTCATTGCATTACATTTAAGCCAAGAGTTCAAAAATTTTCTCAAGTTTTATTATCAGTTCTTTTTCATGTTCCTCCTTCTACATGTTCTAACAGAGATAGATTGTAACCAATACAACTATTTATCTATTTTGAGAGCTTTCAGCATGCTCAGACACATTAACACAGGTGTACATGTACACATACATGTACCATATGTAACCATAGTATACACTATAGGCTTTTCTGAAAGAGCCTTTTTATAGTTTGTGTGTGTGAGTTAGCATCACCAGTCAGACTACAAATGTACATCAAAAAATCAAGGTGAACTGACACAGGATTTGTGCCAACAAATCTAGATTCCAGCTAGGAACATGAGGAACTGAAAATAGAGGGGCACAAGCTAAGCGAAGGGCACAATTGCATGTTACGAATTTACTGAATATGACATAGTACTAAATCTACTGTTTGTATACCATACAACCATAATGTGTATATAGATATAAGAAGATGTGTTATGAGTGCCAATGAGACAACTCTCCATCCAAGTCAAAATTTATAAAAGTAAACCATTATAGGTCACAGTACGGTCTTCAACACGGAGCCTTGGCTCACACCGAACAGTAAGCTATAAAGGGCCCCCAAAATTACTAGTGTAAAACCATTCAAACGGGAAAACCAACGGTCTAATCTATAAAAAAAAAAAAAAAAAAAAAAATATAACACAGATCGTAAAAAAAAAAAAAAAAAAAAAATAACACAGATCGATGAGATGGTATTTTCATCATGTTCATAGATCTCTGGTATTCCTGAAAGATGGCAAAGCATAAATTGACATAGCCTTTCTAAGTATCATAATCAGTGGACTACATAAAGATGTGTAAACACAATACCATTTGGCAGAGGGTATGTTTCATTAATATGTGTTAAATATCTTTTAGCAGTCAGGGGACTTACTTAAATGAGTGATTTTTTAATCACTGATTCAAGTAACATTGTCTACACAAATGTTGGAAGTAAGAGTTGTTTTTCTTTAATAATCACCTATTTAAGTAGTTCAAATAAATCACTGGACTAAGTGATTTAATTTTATTGTAGCTTTAAGTATAGAATACTAATGATCCAGGGACTAATTATGCTGCTAAAATTATCAGAACCAACATCTGTGTTGATAGGATGACCGGGTCATGTCAGGTGATGACCTTGTACTAAATCTAGGATAATGACATAAAAATCACTTGTTTAAGTATCATAACTCTATTTTCTTCCAAAAAATCACTTAAGTATTATTATTTTAATTACCCAAACTAATTTCAACACCCCCGAACAGTGAAATTTTGATCGCGAACAGTAAAATTTTATTACATAATCTGTAAGATGAAACCTTGAATTTTACAGGAAAATTACTCCCACTGCTGGGAAAAATCTGTTAAGAAAGTATCAGTTCATTATGTAAAGCCTTTATTATAGCATTTTTTCAACAAATATAGAATTTACAGCTAATTGATTGCATCAAAGGCATAAACCTTGCTATTTAAAAGAAGAAAAAGGTTAATTTTTTCCAATTTTACTACTGTAAATTCAGAAATTATTGCGTGCATTTATTATAGCGATTTTGTCATTTTGGACTAAAATGCGATATTGAGAAAATTTCTGTTTCATTCATATATAAATAATCAAAATGCGAGTTCAAAATATTGCGATTATAACCCTGTCGCATTTTTCGCAATAATAAAAACATCGCAATAATTTCTGAATTTACAGTAATAATCATGATAATAAGATATACTGTAAATTCAGAAATTATTGCGAGGTTTTTATTAATGCGAATAATGCGACTGGGCGAGTATCGCAATAATAAGAACTCACATTCTGATATCTGAGACATATAATGTATTCAGCTTTTCCGAAAATCACAATAATTAATCTCGTATTTGTGATAATTATTCCAAAATCGCAATAATTTCTGAATTTACAGTAATTATCTAAACCTACAATGTATATGTTTAAAATTTTGGTAAAACTAAAAAATCACAATTTGAGACAAAATTTCAAATTTGCTACTTAAATAAGTGATTTTTAAATCACTTATTTCAGTAAGTCCCCTGACTGTTTAGGGTAGACCTGGAAATGCCTGGTGCTCATATTTATTTTGACCAAAAAATATGCACGAAATGGCCATTGTATATATTTATATTTATGGAGCCATAATGACATCACAGATACCCTTTCTGCCCCATTGTGCAGGTAAATAACATATAATATCATAAGTGATTGTCAGTATTCAGATGCATATCCAGGATTTTGAAAAAAAGGGGGGGGGGGGGGGGGGGGGGGGAAGCGGTAAAAAGTCTGGATTTACCATAAATGAAACTCCATAAGGGGGGCCGGGGCACCCCTTTAAATCCGCCCCTGGTATTTTACTTATATTCAAACAGTATTTATGATCAAATTTATAAGTTTGTTTGTTATATATGAAAGTGATTAATCCACACAAAAAACTGAAAATACCATTAGCTGGACGATAGAGAAACATATTAAACCACAAACCAAATTCTGAAAATGCTATTATAACCCGTTATTCCTTTTCACTCTCAACATCTATCAGATAGTTAACAATATTATATTAAGAGCTACTGTTTTTGATATAAAATTCCTATTTAGAGTTAAAATAGTAAGATAATAAAGAAATAATGTATTTAATGATAAAAATATATTAACAAAATTATAAACATACATGTACATGTATATACCTTAAGATACCCTGGTCTTTAGGTACTAATATACAGGGATCTTCACTGAAATAGCTGTACTAGCAATTAAAAATTGTGACTAGTGAAGAAATCTGATTCGTAAGGACTTGTAAGACATAATAGTGTCCTGTGAAAAAGTGTCCGCCTGGACAGTTTTTCACAGAATTAAAGTAATAAATAATGTCCATTGCCATGAAAATTTGTGTCTTGAAGTGGACAGAATTATACAGCAACAGTTATGAAATAGTATCCTCCCACAGGACACTATTACATAACAGTTGTTATTAAATTATTTCCTTTAAGGGAAGTTATACAAATTTAAGTTCTTCAAAATGTTTTATTATATTTGAATTTTCATTAATTAAGAAAGGTGTATTAATTAGAAATAGATGAATTTAAACATAAAAAAATGCTAATAGCAGTGAATACCGACAAATTTACAACTACATCATTAACATGTCTAAATTTAAAGAAATACTAATACCCAGAAAAGTTCAATGGAAATGTAAGGCGAACACTTTGAAGAAAATGTCAAAAATATAAAATCAAATTGGAGAGATATATTATATTTATAAGGACAATCATGTCCAGAACACATTTACATGATTAAATAAAATAATAACAATAATAAAAATTAAAATATTGTCCATGAACAGTGTTGCCCAGAGTAAAGATTGCTTGATTAGTTATAGGCACAAAAGATTGTGATGGAGTTCATTGAACTGTGGCAAATATTTTTATCTTATAACAAAATTTTCGACATCCATTTGCATGTACATAGCGCCACAGTTCCGGGATATTCCACACTCCGGCACCGGAGTCTTTCCCGTACCAGGAAGAAGAAGAAGGAGTTAAATATTATTTCATGGGAGACATTATTAAATCCTACTCATCACATAATGTTCAAGAACCAAATTTTATGATGTTAAGTGTCCAGTGATAACAATGGACACTTTATCAAAGCTAAGGACATTTTATTTTGTTCGAGACCATAACATATAAGATCAATAACAAGAAGGTGAATGGATTACATAAGGTTAAGTTTGATAAGTTAAACATATTTACCCAAAAGTGACAACCAAAACAAAACTGCAGAACTGATGATTTTCATTGTCTGTCAAAATCTGCTTTAATAAATCGGAAGAAAAGGCAGTTTCATTTAGTCTTTTCACATTTTATACATATGGAACAGCTAAAACCATTAAAATAAAATATATAAACGAATAATAACAGCTTTCTTAATAAAAGTGATCAATTTCGATCTTCCATGATAAATTATAGTCTCGCAGGTGCACGATAAAACTCGAGACCCAAGATGTCTGCGCCCGGTTGAAAGTTCAAAACAACGTCCCACATTGTCAACTTTGAAAAATGAGTTTGAGCAAGGATAAGTCTAACGAAAATGCCTTTGAAAAGGCTCTTAAAGCTTACCTTGGATTGTTACAGTCAAGACCCGTACTTACAAAAGCCATCACCAGGTAAACAATGTAGAAACGCCCACTAATATTCACTTTATATATTTTCTTCTTCAATACATGTACAATGTATACAACAGGTCAGGAATAACCACCAATTGGTGGATTATACGTCAATTGAGGTATAGTCCACCAATTCGTGGTTATTCCTGACCTGTACAAGGCTTCTCTGGGCTGGAGCATAAGTCCTATTTGATAATTGCTGCTCGTAAAGTTGGGTACACAGTTTTTATCTTGTGAATAGTGTTGTGTTTTATAAATGGATGAGGTTTTATTTTGAGTTAAATATGTAAGACTAATTGCACCATCAGGTATTAGCTGCGGAACAGTAGCTCTTAGGAGGGTCGTAATGGAGGTTCCTTCATGACGAATAACGGTAAAAATTCTTGCCAAATGATGTTAACGGTAATTTTAGGTGCATGATGATAAAATGTACATTTTCTTTTAGACCTCTGAAGAATCACGATAAGGATATTTTGACGAATCACGGTAAATTTTAACTAATTTGAGGCTAACGGTAGCCAAAAAAGGACCGTTTGACGCCTGACGGTAAAGGGCATTCCTACCCTCTCTTAGGTCCTTTTGTTCCGCAGCTACATCAGGTAAATTTGTTCTGCAGCTGAGTAACATATTATGATAAGGTAAATGCTGTATATATGTGGGGTCTCACAAATCAATGCTAATTAGCGACAAGAAGACTAATTTAGCGTCAACAAATCTAACTATTAATTATTAAGAATAAATAAATAATAAATAAATATAAGTTCATGTATAAAACGTTTTTGGTTTTTGTCGACCCTTCGACTTTTGTCGAAAAAGCGACATAGCGATCAAACATTCATTCGGCGTCGTCGTCGGCGGCATCCACAAATATTCACTCTGTGGTTAAAGTTTTTGAAATTAATAACTTTCTTAAACTAACCTTGATTTCTACCAAACTTGGACAGAAGCTTGTTTATGATCATAAGGGAGCTACCATTTGATTTTTATGGGGGGGGGGGGGGGGGGGGGGGGGGGCTAGGATGAAATTTGAAAAAAATAGGCAGGACAGGAGTTTTGAGTAAAAAAAAAAGGCAGGATGACAATTTAGTTAAATAAAAAAGTCAGGATAAACTAAAAAAAAAGGCAGGACCGAAAAGAGTGAAAAATAAAAAGGCAGGACCGAATAGAGGGAAAAATAAAAAGGCAGGACAAAATTTTTCATCCTAGCCCCCCCCCCCCCCCCCATAAAAATCAAATGGCAGCTCCCTAAGATAGTATCCAGTAGTAAATTTAAAAAAAAAAAAATCTGGTTTTTCCGTATTTTACTTATAAATGGACTTAGTTTTTCTGCCAGGAAACATTACATTCACTCTGTGGTTAAAGATTTAGAAATTTTAATAACTTTCTTAAACTATCCTGGATTTCTACCAAACTTGGACAGAAGCTTGTTTATGATCATAAGATAGTATCCAGATGTAAATTTAGTAAAAAGAATTATTTTTTTTTCCATATTTTACTCATAAATGGACTTAGTTTTTCTGCCAGGAAACATTACATTCACTCTGTGGTTAAAGTTTTTAAAATTTATTAACTTAAACTATCCTGGATTTGTACTAAACTTGCATGGACAAAAGCTTGTTTATGATCAAAAGCTAGTATCTAGAAGGAAATTTTGTTAAAATTTAGTACCTGTTTTTTCGTATTTTACTTATAAATGGACTCAGTTTTTCTTCCAGTTAACATTACATACAGCCTGCAGTTAAAGTTTTTAAAACATTTATTAGATTCATAAACTATCCTGGATTTTTACCAAACTTGGACAGAAGCTTCTTACAATCAAAAGATAGTATCGAGAGGAATATTTTTATTAATTTTTTTCCTCATTTTTGTTGAGCCTGCGATTAACAGCAAAAGTAGGCGAGACACCCGGTTCCGTGGACATGGTGGAACCCTTACTAATTTTTTAATATATGTGTATTATTATTTTTAATTCTTAATTTCAAGGTGAATTTCAATATTTCATTATACAGATAGATGGAGAAATGAAACTTTTGTTCAAGAAAAAAGGGAATGTTGAGTCAATTTTTCATTATCAAGGATATGTTTACTGTATGTTATTACTGTTTTCATCATTATAAGTGTATAAGTAAATGAATCATAACTTATGTCAGTATGGTTGAATATCATCTCTCCAAAAGGTTCAAACCAAATAACCAAAACACAGTGCTTTTATTTTGTGAATATGATGCTTCGTTTGTAGTACTCTCAGCCACACATTGTAATCTTTATTATTTCTATGCAGTACTCAAAAACCTGTATTGTTGCAATTAATTATCAACAGGAAAAAGAGAACAATTCAAATGACAGACATTAAAATTGATTGATTGATTGGTGTTTAATGCCACTTTCAGCACTATTGTGCTATTACGTGGCGGTCAGTTTTTATTGGTGGAAGAAGCTGGAGTGCCCAGAGAGAACCACCGACCTTTGATACGAAAACTGACAAAAATCCTAGTCAATAAAGATTGGAGTCTAGTGCACCTGCCCCATGCGGTATTCGAACTTACAACCTCAGTGCTGATAGGCTAGTAATACAGTAGTTAGACTACTTAGACCACTGGGCCACCGAGGCCCCTTATAGACATTAAAACAACTGTAGGTCACTGTAAGGCCTTCAGCAATGAACAAAGACCATACCGCATAGCAAATTATAAAGGCGGAAATGACAAATGTAAAACATTTCAAACGTGTACAAACATGACAAAACTATAAATGAAAAACAAATATGATATACAGCGACAGACAACCACTGAAGCACAGGCTCCTGGATTAGGATAGGCAGATAGAGAAAGTGGCAGGGTTAAACATTTTTGCGGGTGCCCAACCCTTTCCCTAATCTTGGACAATGGTGCAACAGCACATCATAACAACTTGCTATAAAATAAGTTGAAAAGGGCTTAACTCATCAGATTGATACACAAAACAAAGACAACTAACATGACTAACAAAAACAATAAAGATACAAAGTACAGATCCTAGAGTACTCACAGTTCCTGAAAGCTAGTTCAAAGCAAAATAATAACTAATGAAAAAATCATGTATCAAAGACACTGTGCATGTCATAAGGCTTACAACCAAATCCATTAAAACTTTGTCAAATGTTTGTATCCAATGAAAATAACAGAAGAGTCGCTACTGATTCAAAATTCCCATAACCCCAGTCCAAGTTTGGTGGTACATTCAAGATAAACAGCTAATATGTAAATAAGAAGATATAGTATGATTGCAAATGAGACAAACATCTACTGGACATGCTAGAGACCAACTGACGTTCATGTTACAAACTATAAGTCACCGTATACCATATGGCCTTCAGCAATGAGCAAAACCCATACTGTACTGCTGTATGGTAAGCTATTAAAGGCCCTACATGACAAATGTTACCAACAATTCAACCCAGAAAAACTTTTTTTTATTTTTTTTCCAGTTCTACAGTTTCAGCAGTTGGTAACATTATATCACAGTTGATTGTCCCTAACCAACAAAATGGTGGCAAAATTGCCTGGCGAAGTGTGGCTTCTTATGCCTCCTTTAGGTGAGTACAATTTGTAATTGCATAGTAAAGTCAATAGATAAATATACTTTGACTTATTAGCCCACCTATGAATTAGTCCCCTACCGACGATGTCGAAGGGGACTTTAGGTTTGCACTCTGTCTGTCTGTCTGTCCGTCAGTCCAGCAAATCTGTTTTCCACACTTTTTTTCTTCGTCCTTGAAGATATTGATTTGATATTTGGTGTATTGTTTTATCTTGACAAGTTATAGTTCAAGGTTGAATTTTGTTCCAGTTTGATGATTTTGTGCAGAGTTATGGTCCTTGGACTTAGAAAATTCACTCAAATAATCAGTTTTCCGCACCTTTTTTTCGTCATGCTTGAAGATATTGAATTGATAATTGGTATATTAAGTTTCATCATGACAAGTTACAGATCGAGTTCCAATTTTGTTCTGGTCTGATGATTTTGTGCAGTGTTATGGTCCTTGGATTTAGAAAGTTCACTCAAATAATCAGTTTTCCACACTTTTTTTCGTCATGCTTGAAAATATTGATTTGATAATTGGTATATAGTTTTATCATGACAAGTTACAGATCAAGTTCTAATTTTGTTCCGGTCTGATGATTTTGTGCAGAGTTATGGTCCTTGGACATAGAAAATTCACTTAAATAACCAAGTTTTCCACTTTTTTTTTCATCATGCTTGAAGATATTGACTTGATATTTGTTATTTAGTTAACACCATGACAAGTTATAGATCATGATAGCATTTAATTCCATTACAATGAATTCTTAACTGGTAGGGGACTATGTATTGCCATGCAATACTCTTAGAATGCTTGTTTAGATGATGAGTCTTAATTATTTTATAATCAAACAAACATAAATTGTGACAAAATTGTTTTATTTGTACACTTTCTTCTGGTATTTTTGTTTGTGGACCAATGATGCTTTATTTCTACACTTTATTGTAGTTGTTGAGGAAGTGGACCAATGATGCATTATTTGTACACTTTTTTGTAGTTTTGTAAGAAGTGGACAAATGATACATTATTTCTACACTTTAATGTACTATTGTTGTATGTGTCAACATTGATACATTATTTCTTCACTTTATTGCAGTTTTGTAGTAAGTGGACCATTGATACATTATTTCTACATATGGATGGATAAGTTGATACCAAAGAAGAAAGAATCAGCCACATTTGATGGAATCAAGAGAGTTATATTTGACAGATTTATATTTGCACCTCCATTTATACTCCTCTTTTTATATGCAGTTACAATGCTAGAGGTAAAAAGATATATATATATATATATACCATTTTTTTAGAGTGCATTTACAGTGTATCATTGCGATTTATGAAGAAGGGACAAACATTCTACCTTAATTATTGTGATTTTAAATTTGAGTTTTTACTTTTGAGATACTTATTCTGTCACAGTTTTCACAATTTCAATATAAAAAAAAAACATCGTAAAAATTCTGAATTTACAGTTTTTTGTTGTGTATCATGTCATGAGCTTTTTAAAAATTTAGTTGAGAATTTTTAAAATGTTTTCACTTGTTCTAATTGTATTCATTATTTTAATCTTGAAATATTAATGTTATTATCATGTCAAATGTTAATGCTTTAGGACCATTAATTGGAAATTAAATCTATTTTGATCTTAACAAGCTCTGTAACAATACTAAAAGTAAAAAATAAAGGGCAAACTTAGACTAATTACATACCTATAAACTATATAGGTTGGTAGATGATAAAATTGGCCTTGTTATTTAATCTTAAGGAGCACTCAAAGTAACTTACAGTGTTTCCAATACTTTAGGAATTGTTCCAGATCATATATACCTGCACTGTTTACTGTATATTTAGAAATTAATGCGAGGTTTTTATTATTGCGAATGATACAACAGGTTCAGTATTGCAATAGAAAGAACTCACATTCTGAATTCGATAATATATCTGTAAGCAGACTTTCCTCAAATCGCAATAATTAATCTCACATTTTTGTCTTAAAAATTCGCAATAATAAATGGATGTAATAATTTCTGAATTTACAGTATAAATCTTCTCCGAAGTACATCTGCTGATATAAGAGTGTTTGTAGTATGATTTCTATATCAGAAGCTTCCATACTTTAAGTTGTCTTTGATATAGTACATTTAGTCATTAGATCAATACGAAGTCTTTATTCTGTCATTAGGGTACTGTCTCATTAAGGTTTATTTCATCCAATCTATATCATGTATATGTTAGAAGAAATTTTTAGAAAGTTATAGTTTAAAACATTTTTACCTTAAAAGTATTAATTCAAAATCTGGTACCTGATCAGAATTCTGAAAATTAATAGTAGGTCCAGTCTCCTCATAAGAATTCTAATATTTGATGATAATAGGTCCAATGTCCTAATCATAATGGACTAAATTGATGTTAAATCAAAATTCTGTTACCTGAAGAATCATGTAAAACTTGTTTAATTATGCCTATTCAAAATCTGTAACCTATAAAATTAGTAGCAGATCTTTTGTAGTTGAATTTATTCACAATTTGTCTAGATATCTGGGAGATTTCGAGCTTTCAAAGTAACACAGCGTCTGTCAAAAATCTTCAATTTTTTGTTTGAATTGTTTCACATTTTGTCATGTCTGGTCCTTTTATAGCTGTTTGAATTGTTTCACATTTTGTCATGTCTGGTCATTTTATAGCTGACTATAGGATATTGGTTTTCCTCTTTACTGAAGACCATACAGTTACCTTTAATTGTTTCAATCTATGTCATTAGGACTCTGGTGGATAGTTGTCTAATTGGGAATCATACCACATCTCCTTATTATATTATCTATTGTTGACAAGTCACATGTGGATGTTTTATGCTTTTGTTGTGTCCTTGTTCATGTTGGTTTACTGTCTCATTGACATATACTCCTCATCTCTCTTTAGATTCATTATACAAGAAATTGTTGAAAAGCAGTAATGTTCTATTATTTATTTTTATTACATTGGTTGCAATGAATTACCGTGATTTCCCAGTGAAATAAAAACCGATAATTTCACATGTGAAATAAACTCTGTTATTTCACTCCTCTGATGTCATACAACAATAGACGTTGTCGATGAAGTCGCATCAAAACAAATTGTGAATGCGTAGAAAAAGATATAGTTCCTTACATTTTCTACTTTAATCCCATTCAAAAGTCCATTGACAATGTAATAAAAAGAATATCTAATCAAAGAATTCAAATATCGAAAAATATTCAGCTCGTGACCAAACAACACTAATAATTAACTCATTCGCTACGCGCATTCGTGAATTAATGTGTTGTTTGGTCACTCATTGAATATTTTTCTATATTTGAATTCTTTGATTAGTTTTTCTATAATTATCATGTTTTGTTTATACAGGGTTCAGGGCACGAGGCAGCTATTGCAAAGATTAAAGAAACTTTCTGGCCGATACTAAAAATGAACTGGCAGATTTGGACAGTGTTCCAGTTTATTAATGTAAACTATGTACCTCTGAAGGTAAATAAGTTAATATTACAAATATATCAGCCTCATGTTGCTTTATACCACAGAATACGCTGAGTGTAAAAATAGGATACAATAGAAAGATATAATAGTTATCAAAGGTACCAGGATTATAATTTAGTACGCCAGACGCGCGTTTCGTCTACATAAGACTCATCAGTGACGCTCAGATCAAAATAGTTATAAAGCCAAACAAGTACAAAGTTGAAGAGCATTGAGGACCCAAAATTCCAAAAAGTTGTGCCAAATACGGCTAAGGTAATCTATTCCTGGGATAAGAAAATCCTTAGTTATAAAAGTTGTCTTCTTGAATTCTCTGAGCCAGTCCTAGTTTTTGCTTTAAAATTATTGAAGGAGAATAGCTATTTTTCAAGTATTTTTTCCCTTGAATCATACCATGTATACTGGTAATCTAATACTAATAAGAGGTTGTTTCTCTTGATAGGAAGGAGGACAATCTGTATTCATGGTATTTGATATCTGATTTGAGTTAATTTTGGACTCTTTGTTTAAAAAAGATTTTAAAAACTTAATGTATATAAGTAAAATATATTTTTAAACCAAAAGAGAGTTTATGGAGCGTCATTGTTGATACAGAGTATCTGCTAACAAATATAATTACCGGTAGCAGCAGAGGATAAAGCTGACCTTTGTACCTTTGAAAAATACTCTGTTTGATTGAATGTTTTCTTTACATGTGTACTTTTATGGCAAACCTATTAATCATTGGAAACTAGACCCTAGACAGGGATACAGGTTCATGTGAGTTAGAACTTGAAGACAGGGATACAGGCTCATCTAAGTCAATAATTTCCTTCATTATCCTATTTTTTAATTTATATATAAATACCCTGAATGTACTTTGATTTGCATTTTAACAAAGTTCTATGAGTTTAACAAATACACTTCTAGCTCAACAAATATGTTTACACTGATAAGGAAAATCTGACGAGCAGAATACTTAGAAAGTATTTCGTAAAACCATCAAAATTTCAGACAAATGGATTTACTGCCCTTTAATGACTGTTTTTATGAATCATTAAAGTTTTTGTATATCAACCTAAAACTAATGAATAGAGAAAAATTGTATACAGCAAAATTGATATTATTGGTTGCTTATATTTTGATGACTGCTTAATTGAGGCCATTTGCTTGAGGCGAGGGGAAATTTGTAACGGATTTTTTTTATGTTGATTTTTGTCTCGCCTGCGATGAAAGTCTCATTATGTGAGACATAGGTATTACTATCTGGCGGCGTTGGTGTAAACTATTTGTATAAAGCTTTATATTTCAGAAGGTAGGACACCTGTATCCTTCATATCTTGTATACAGATATCTTATGTTACGAAGTTTCAGTCAATCAGATGTCCATTGTCCTTGACCTCATTTTCATGGTTCAGCGACTGCTTGAAAAAAATTTTGAGTTTTTTTGTCATGTGAATTTCTCACTTATTATGAATAAGAGGATAACTGTATTTGGTATATGGGTTCCTTGCAACGTCTAAATGTCTGTCAGACAGAGTTCACGTGTCCTTGACCTAATTTCATGGATCAGTGGTCAAGGTTAAAGTTACATGATTAGGTCCGTTTCTAAAATACTAAAAGCAGTAGGTCAACTATATTTGGTGTATAGAATGTTTGTAATGGGTACATGTCAGTCTGGCAGGTTTCATCTGACCTTGACCTCATTTTCATGGTTCATTGGTCAATGTTATGTTTTTGTGTTTTCGTCTGTTTTTTCAAGTACTATAAGCAAAAGGTCAACTATATTTGGTGTATCAAATGATTGAAATGTGTACATGTCTGTCTGGCAGGTATCATCTGACCTTGACCTCATTTTCATGGTTCATTTGTTAAGTTTTTGTGTTTTTGTTGGGTTTTTTTCAAGTATTATAAGCAATAGGTCAACTATATATGGTGTATGGAATGATTGTAAGGTGTACATGTCTGTCTGGCAGGTATCATCTGACCTTGACCTCATTGTCATAGATCTTTAAAAATGTTAAGTTTCTGTAATGTTTTAGTAAAACCTTTATCTTTATGACTTTCAACATAAAATCAATAGTCAGTAAAGCAGGCGAGACATTTCAGCGTGTGCACTCTTGTTAAAGTATGTATGAAAACTTTGCTAGATGAGTTATTCAGGCAGGGACATTGGAGCTAATAGTTTTATTTAGTACCATGTATTCAGTAGTTTTCTCATAGTGTGTATTGTTTGGTAACACAGGTTTAATTTATTCTATAAATATTTTTTCAATACCAAGTTTTATTTGGTAAGGCAGAGTTGATTTTTTTTCTATACCAGTACATTTTTTTCAGTATTGTGTAATATTTTGTTATGCAAGTTTGTTATATTTTTGAAATTGTTTTATCCAGATTTGGTGTATTCTATAATATATTTTTCAGTACCATCTTTTATTTGAGGCATTCTATAATTTATTTTTCAGTACCGTGTTTTATTTGGTAATGCAGTAGCTTTGGTTTGGTCCGTCATTGTTGCAGTTAAGAGAAGACAATTAGCACAGTGAAACAAAAAGACAACTGTTGCCTTGGATACAGCGTAAACAGAAAACATTATGACAATTTGTAATTTTGGAGAAAGATCAGTATTAGATATAAGAAAAACATGTAAATCTTAAATTCTTGCAGACCTGTTTGGTCCTAGAAATCCACAAATTTAAATTCTGAATAAATAAACCAGTTTACAGTAACTGTCTTATGGAGTAATGAGAGATGCAGTTGATTAACTGGTTGACCACTGCAGCCAGTTAATGTGTCCAAATGTCCAATCATGTGGTAGTGACCACCTTAGCCTGTAACAATATCCAATAAGGTGATATTTTGTATTTAGTGAATTTTTAAGACCAAAGATTTTAACAATGTTTTAAATCTAAGGGAAGTCTTAAGAGGGACTAGGGTTATGCATATTTTCTAAATAATATTCTTATTCCCAACTTTGAAGAAAACATTATTTTGATCAGGGAGAAGGAAAAAAAATTCTGATTGTCTAATTGAGTTTTTGTTATTAAATTAATGTTTAGTTTTTTAAAAATTGTCACTTTAGTGACAAAAAAATAAAAAAAATTCAGAATGAACCCCCCCCCCCCCCCACCCCCCCCCCCCCCCCCCCCACCCTCAAATGGTTGTTCAATATATATTGTACTTTATGTGATGTTCAAAACTTTTTTAAGAAGAGTTATTTTTTAATGTTACTGTAATTTCATTCTTGAAAATCTTGATTACCATTCTTCTGAAGGAACTCTTCAGTCATAAAATTGACATAATAGGGAATTAATATATATCTCAAACATTGGTTATTTGTGGGTAAAGAGAATATAAGAATTTTCTTTATTTCAAAGCTGATTGTAAAAGGTTAGTATTAAAGATGAGATAGGATCATTGTTTATAATACAATCTCTGTATATTTTGACTAAGTTCTAAATAATTTCTATATTTATCAGATTGAAATATGCTAATTTGCAATTTTGCTATGAAGCTATACACATCCTTTATATTTTTTTCATAGAATTCATATACCGGTAACCAAACAGGTGGATTTAATGTGGTTTAGTTTCAGATTTATTTCAAATTTATCAAGTTATTGTAAACTGATGAAACTGTTGAAAGAGTGTTGAGTATTTCCATAATTAAAATGTATGTAAGGTTTAGTATGTATGAACAGTAACTATAGTAATATTGTTAAAGGGTAGACCTTAATAAGGGAGATAACTCTTTACATCAGTACAATGTTTGTTAAAGTTAGTTTCATCAATGCCTTTTAAGCATCTATGTGAAATTAAATTTAGCTTTGAAAATGGCTGAAACAAATGTATTAGTAAATTAAATATTTTAAAGAGTTATTTCCCTTTAATGGGGCATCTCAGATGTGACAGATTATTTATGTATTTTTCACATAAAAGATATACACACTACTGCACCATGCAGAAAATTTATGTTGAAACACACATAACCTTCAATCACAATTTCATTCATTTTCATAAAACTAGATACTTTGAGATGCTCCAAGAGAAACTTTGTGTAATCAGATGTATGATTAATGATTGAATTATATCAACATATAACTATGAATAAAACAAGGAGATTGAGGTAGTCATATTGATTATCTATTTAACAATAAAATTGTATTTTTTACATGGACAAATATTATGGTTTATATTAATCAGTCTTCCGACTCTTAAAAACCCTGGAAGTAGTTCTGGTCACATACCAATTACCATCAGAAATCCTGAAATATTCTTTAACAAAAAGTCAGTTGAAATATATTTTTCAACATTCAAAGGCTTGGCAAAATTGGTATATATCCCCACTCAGACTTTTAATTCTCCTGATTATTAATATTTTTATGGGTACCAGGACTTGTAACCATCCATCATTTTTCAATCAATTAACCAAAATGGAGCACTTGTCTGGTAGTGTTGACTTTTTAAATCCCTCTTCACTGAGCACCAATAGAAATAAAAATACTGAGTAATTTTAACAAATGAAGGCTCCCTTTGAGTATTTTTTATGCTTGACGGAATCTTAATTGTTACTTCTGACATATGTTGTCAATATACAGTACAAACTTTTACAGAAGTGACACATTTTTACAGTTATTTTATGTAATGACCTTTTCTTTAATTCAATTATTTGTACCTGTAAATGTGTCAGAACGATTATTCAGCAATAACTTAACACATAACATGGATGATGATTTTTGACAAGGAGTAATTATCCTTTGACCTCTCTCTCATTATGGTTACATGTAAAAGTTGTTATTTATACAAACACTTCTGTTTTAATTACTAATTGTTAACATAAATGATTTCATCTCTTGACCTTTTTAAATTTTGATTACAGGTAATTTTAATTGCTTTTACAGGAAAAATACATACTTCATTTGTTTATAGTTACATGGCATTCACATAAATTACATTACTGAAACTACTAATGTGATTGTTGCTGTATAGTAACATTAATTTTATTTTCTTTAAGTATAGTTTGATGCCCTTCTTTTACAAACTTCTCAATTTTACATTCATGAAAAGATTGGCCTAAAATCCACTAGTGTTTGACATGACATACCATCTTTTGACTTTCCTTTCAATTAGTAACTGTTACAGTTTATGGGTTAAAAAACTGTGTAGCATTCCCGAATTTGGCCACAAATTCTAGAATAGGCTTCAATGGGAAAAAAGGTATGAAAATCTTCACAAACATCTCACAGTAAAAATAAAATAATTCTTGGTATGAACATGACATATGTTCCATGGCCTATATGGATTCCATGTTTGTTGTCTGAAGTTCATTATAAGCTCAGTTGGGAAATATTTTTTTACAATTTTCTCTTCAATATTAGACAAAATGAAAAGGACTATTATTACATATAAATCCTGTCTTGTGTGATGGAGATGCAAGTTGTTACAAATAAATCCCATGTAGAGTTTGGCTCAAATTCATAATGTCCAAAGTTTTAGCTAATTGGTTGCATTTATAGGTAAAATGTTCTTAATTTGTTTTCAGACGACGTACCATATGACGAATACAGTTTGCGAACCTCAATTAAAATGTTGATATTGTTGCCAACCATTTTATGAACAAGAGGGGGAATATTTTAACTTTAACTCTGGTTGAAAAAAATATCTTGACTCAGGTTTTGATAGGAAAGATACATGTAATTTTTACAGTTCACAGGAACTGACTTGATTTTTGCTTTGTTCCTATCCAGAATTGAACCATCACATTTGTCAACATCCTAGCATATATTTACAAGACCAAATCCATACCCCTAAAAAAAGGTATTTCATTTGGGCAAGTGTTACATATAGACAAACGTTAATAATATACACGATGTTAGAAGTGTGAGAGGATTTCCTTTGCAGATCTAAATTAATACAGGATTGCTGATCTATTAATAGATACACACAGTCGGATTAATTATAATATTTGTAGATAACAGCACATAGATCAATCTATAAACACTCAATTGCGTTAATAGATATTTAAATACATATACACATGTATAATATAAATTACATGTTGTTTTTTTTTGTATTGTTTACAGTTAAATATAAAAGTGTAAAGCATGTAAATATAAATATTATATTATTACATCATTATACAAAAATAGAGGGTATCAGAGGTTTTACACCTTATTTTCACAGCAGGGATATTTGATTTAAACTGCAAAATCTAGCAAAAAGTAGTGTCTAACCATCTTAGTTAAAGCTATTGACACACTGTATGATTTTATTTCTTCCAATGTTAACTCGCAACAAAAGTGCATTGCAAAATGCAGAATATTGTCAATTGTTGACAGTTATCTAATTCTCAACAGTACAATAACATATTAGTATAAGATAACATTTACAATATAAAGTCATGACTTATATACAGAGATACCGCTGGAATGGTTTAACTTTTTAGCTCAACTGGCTAAAAGCCATGGTGACCTTTTGCCATCACTCTGTGTCCATCGACTCGTCCGTCCGTCCGTCTGTAAATTTAAAATAAAAATGATCCCCTGTGATTTCGTTTGGAACAAAAGTTGGCCTGGATCATCTTTAGGGTGTCTACTTTCAAAATTATATCCGATGATCTACCCTCCAACCAACATGGCCACTATGTCTATAAATAGAACATAGGAGTAAAAGACACTTCCAGAGCCAGTACAGCCACATTTTCCCACCAAATGAGTTTAATTGTGAACAGTAGCTACAATTTAATGAGTATTATGACATATGTTACAGGTTTTGCAGAGACGTATTGTGTTTTGCCGATTTTAACCGAAATTATGCAAATTAGGCTGATTTTGACAAAAAAATCATTAAACAATTTTGTCCTCTAAAACCAATGTCTGGAATAATCCTTAGATGGTTCCCTTTCGGAGCTGGCTGGTCTCCCAAGATGGCCGCCATGGCCCATGATTATTTGAGTAAAAAATCTTCTTTAAATAAGCCGCTTAGCCAAATTGATTTAAAATTGACTTGAATACTCCTTATATGGTCCCCCTTCAGATTTATGTCCTATAAGATAGTATGTCATCCAAGATGGCCACCATGGCCCATGAATGGTCGAATGGAAAAAAATCTTAAAATAGACCGCTCAACCAAATTGAACATAATTTGACTGGAGTGCTCTTTAGATGTTTCCCTTTCAGAATTTTGACTGATAAGCCAGCCAGTCATCCATGAAAATAAACCGCTTAGCTTAATTGAACCAAAGTTAGAGTACTACTTAGATGATCCCTTTTCCGATTTGTGTCTTATAAGACACAAGTATAAGTATAAGTAACTCACTTGTCCGAACGAACAAATTGAAAAAAAAAATATTGTAGATCCCTGTTGTCCATAGGTACGCTCTCCATCCAATGCTGCTGTTACTAAAAATAGATTTTTTTCATATGACCGATGCTTCATTTTTTTATTGATGTCTGTGGTAATCCAGGTGAGCGATTACAGACTCCTTGGGAGCCTCTGGTTTAGGTTTCAAATACTGTATATGATTGAATCGTAAATTTTCCACTCTAAAAGATCAATGGGTTGTAATTTTAAAGCTATGATATATCATTGGGTGGTTTTCAACAAGCCCTCAATTTCTTTTTTGCTAAAACAAATTCTTTTAAAAGTGAATTACACAACATTTATCCCTCTGCTGAAATTAATACCCAATGGGTAAAGTTTTAATTCTGAGGAAATATATGTTGGTGGTGTTTTTAAAACCTCTGTTGCACCCCCCTACCCAATTTGATGACAATGAGTATTATTTGAAATCATATGTCAAGGGCGCTTTTCAGGTTCCCATTTGTGCTCAGTATATTACAGAAAATAGAACTATAGTGCATTAGATATTTTCGGCAAAATTTGAAATTAATATACTTACTTGTGCGTAAAAACGGATGTTTTGCATACATTATGGATAGATGGATGAGACAATAACAGCTTCTAATCTTATGTATTTCCATCAAGTGAACAGAAAAAGCTTTTAATCAGTGAAAAATATTTGTGAGAAGGTATGTATACCTAATGTACTTACTTGTGTCAATTTCATTCTGTAAACTGTTTTGTTGTATAATTTTTCCAAAAAAATGTTTTACTGATGCAGTTAAGTTTGTATATTTAAAAAAAAATGAAACATTACATGCCTTATGTATGCTGTTTGGCTTTGACTGTTCAAGGTTTCAAGAAGATGGTACAGGATTCTTTTCATACATATTCAGCAAGTTGTTAACGAATTTGCAATATGTTCTCCATTTCTGAATTTCTGAATTTTCTTGTTTTCCGTCTTGATTTCAGAATATTTCATGTTGCAAGATTTCTTTTTCATGTGAACTTGACTATGACAATAATTTAGTCAAATTACATGTTTCAGTCAAATTTATCTAATTTACTATTTATATATATAATATGCTTTGTTTATTATCTTATATTTCATTTGTTCACATGCAAAGTTTGATCTTTGCAAATTTTCTTTTTTTTTCATACATTTCCATTTTTGGAAGCTCCTGTACCATCCTGTTTAAACTTTATGTTTAGTCAACACTTATGGTATGGGACTGTCATCGTCGACATCTGTCAACTTTTGCTGTCCTGACATTTTTTACTTTAAATTTGTATGACTGATCTTTTTACCTCACATGGCCAAAGGCCAGTGTGAGCTATTGCCATCACTTTGTGCCATCGTCAGTCCATCGTCATTGTCGTCGTTTACATTTCACATTTTGATCATCTCCTCTGAAATTACTGTGCCATTTGGAATCAGACTTGCAGGAATGATGCAGTTGAGGTCATCTACAAAGATTCCTCATTTCGTTTTGATCTGGCAATTTTTGCATCTGATTGGCTGAAACCTAAACAATCCAAAGCCAAATGATTTGTAACTTTGTAGGAATGATGAATAAGAGGTCCTCTACAAAGATTCCTTATTTCATCTTGACTGGGTGAAAAACATGGCTGCCACAGACAATTCTGAAAACTACAATGTCAATTGATTTGTAACTTTGCAGGTATGTTGCAAGGTCCTCACAAATATTTTTTTTTCATTCTGATTAGGCATCTGCTGACCAGGATACCATGTGAGCTACACAGGCTCAGGACTCCTGAGCCTCTAGTTTCA